CTCATTACATTTATTTTATCAAATCATTTTTTTTTTCCGAAGCCGTCTGTTACGAACCAGTTGTATGTACTGCAACCTATTGGTTTATTGTAAATCTTTCATTCAGTTATAAGAGTCATATCATAATTCTTGAATTTTGTATCTTGTATCAGATTGTACAGGTCTAGTGAATGGGTATCATATGTTTTTGAAGTCATAGTCTCAAAAAAGTATTTGCTGCTGGAGATCACGTGCCCCGCAGTAGAGATTAACAATAATGGCAGACGTAGCAGCAAAATATTGTATGCATTAGTTAAATTATATAGTTCTTTTCACAGTGCACTATTAATTTATGCAGTCTGAGGATTGGTCTGATATCTAAGATTGCTTTGTGAGGTTATGATGTCTGCTTCCAGTAATAACAATTTTGGTGAATATTTACTGGATTTGGGTCGTGGTGAGAAACAAACCATTATTTTTGATAGCTATAGAACTAAATTTCACTTGGTAGAAATATGTTGTGGATTGTCGACCTATGAGACAAGAGCTGTTGTGTTGCAGAAACGTTTACTAATGTTTTTTTGTCTACATGTAAGGACGCATCTAAAATTCAAAGAATTAATAGAGAAATCTGCTGAATATATTAACTTGATTATTAGTTTCCTTAGTAGTGTGCCCATTGTGGTGGTAGCTAAACAAAAAAAAAACGGGTATCTACCCCAGTAACTGTATACTACCAAAATGTAGCAGGTCTACGTACCAAACTTTTTGATATAAAAAGCATTTCATGCTGCTTTTATGATATAATTATTTTAGTTTAAAGCAACTTTAACATAATGCACAGTAAATTAAAGTGTAAACGTTTTATCATTTATACGAGTGATAGAAACAGTAGAACGATCAAGAAATTAAGTGAAGGTGGAGTTCTAATATTCATTAATAACAATTTTCAATTTTAGTTTATTTCGATTATTGAAGATCGCCTAGAACAGCTTTATATTTTGTGCAGGGTCCATGGGTCTCAATTTGTTATAGGGGATTATTTACATTTCTCCTTAAATACCTGAAAATTTTGTTCAGCTGTTTCCATCAGTTGATGATCAAACGACATCTGCAAGAGAGCTTAGAGTGACCGAACGAAGCAAAGACTGGAAGTGGAAGTGAGAAGAATATCAGAAAATATTGTAAACCGATTTATAATGATAATAACCGTAAGGATACCGTTAAATAATTATATTACGAATCTATGGTTACATTAGATAAAGTAAATCAACCTTGACAAAGTTAAAAATTTACAATTATTGTTAATTTAGTTCATGTTAAACGCTAGGTTAATTAATTTAAAAAACCTCTTATTTTCTAAACTAAATGAAAATAAATATTATATAGTACGCTTTTAAATGAAACTGTCAATTTTTTGTGCTGTAGTCGATTACGGTTTTGATAAGAAGATGAGACCCTGTCAGGTGAGACATAAACATTAAGTATATACTTATATAACTTAATTTTGAAATTCTATATACAAAATCAAATTAATTATGATCTAATTAGCAAATTAAAACAAAAAACGTATTTAATGAATTTTAATGTAAACGCTAGATTAATAAATACCTATATGTTTTTCTCAACTCAGGATTCTTAATTGAGTTCAACCGCATTACCTTTTAAATAATTGATGGATTCGACCGTTACTTGATGGAAATTCATTTTATGTAACAATAAAACACTGAAAATTTTGTTTTCAAAACTTCCACAAAAATTTATTATATAATCTTATCACTACAGATGTTTCGGCTAATTGCCTTTCTCAAGTGATCTATTTTTGGCATCTTGTACAATTTATAGTCTTTAATGAAATAGGTTGAGGAGGGGAGAACTGTTTGTCTCAAGTTAGTCATTCAGAATTATATCCGTGTTTTTTAATTTGTTGATTTCCATAGATTCTACCAAAGATAGCGATTTTGGCGATGTTTTTGCGTTTTATTTTTATCTTAGTATATTCGTTAATACCATCCCCTTTCCAGCGAACCTTTGCACGTTGTTGTACGTTGACTTGTTTAGACGTTACAAGATTAGTGTCCTTTTGGCATTGTATTTTACGATTGTTTTTGTGTTAACGTATTTGCTATGTCTGACCAATAACTATGGAGATATGACCAATAACAATGGAGATATGACGTAATGCCGCTTTGGCACAGTCTTTGCGTTAGATTTTTATCTTAACATATTCGTTATCACCTCCCCTTTCCAATGATACCTCACACGTCACGATCCGATGAGTCGTTTTACCCCCATCACAAAATGAGCCAAAAATGAGCAAAACGAACCTTAGCGATTTCCCATATTAATTTCCATAAGAGTTGGGCCCGTTCTCTTTTACTACTGAAGAATTTTAAATTGGTCATTAATAGAATGATTATGATCTTGAAGGTGAAGTGCGTATTTAGAATCTCTTTTTCTATTATTGAAAGCCCTTTTATGTTCTGCCATTCGTTTAATCTTCTAAAACTCTGGAGGGATTAGGAAATGCCGAAAGTTAATCCCAGGGTTTACTCAGAAATAATTTTTAACAAAGCCTTGAAAGGGCAATGTGGAGTTCGAATCGGAGGAAAAACTATTAATAACATCAGATATGCAGATGACACCGCAATCATGGCTGAAAGTATCGAAGATCTTTAATTCCTTATAGATCGACTCACTAGAGCATGCTCTAATAACGGACTTAGCATAAATACAACAAACACAAAGTAACTTGTGGTTAGTAAACAAGACCTCGGCGCAATACAACTAAATGTCAATAATGAACCGATAACAAAAGTTAACCATTTTAAATATCTAGGATGTTGGATAAACGAGACACTAAATCCGGATGAAGAAATTAAAACTCGTATAGAAATTGCAAGAGGAGCATTTATGAAACTTAGATTTATTATGAGCAATTCTCAGCTGAACTTACAGCTGAGAATTAAGTTCCTTAAAATGTTATGTCTGTCCTGTAAAAAATGCTTATTGCAAATTAGAATCCTTCGAGATGTGGTTATATCGTAGAATGCTCAGAATATCATGGGTTCAACACATTTCAAACAGAGAAGTCTTGAGCAGAGTAGGTCAAGGCGAAGGTGACTTAATAAAGATGATAAAAAGAGAAATCTCGAATATCTGGGGCATATAATGAGAGGAAACAGATACAGGATAATGCAGTTGATACTCAACGGAAAGATCGACGGAAGAAGAGGAATTGGTAGAAAGAAATACTCATGACTCCGAAACCTTAGTCAATGGACTGGCTTATCAGCAGATGAATTATTCCATATCGCGCAAGATCGAGAAAGATATCGGCAAATCGTCATGGAAGTTACTCACGTCCAAAACTTGGGCACGGTACTCAAAGAAGAAGAATTCGTTTATTAAAATTTCTACCAGTTTGACCGATGTAAGTTTTTGGGGAGTCGCTACATTTAAGGTTGTATACACCACTGTGTAAGTGCTTTTTATTTTGGCCTTTGTTGTTTTTAATACATTTGCCTAAGCTGTTATTTGTTAGTTGCTGTTATGGGTAATCGAGCAGAAGGTACTGGGTTTTTTCTCTGCTGGTCCAAATACTTATTCCAGAGTTTTTTTTTTGTAGTTTTTGATTTTAAATTGTATTAATTGTTTGTCAGTTGTATCTATTGTTTACTGCTATTTGCTTATTGCTATTTAATTCTGTCTCAATTGTTGTATTTTGTCATCGGAATTTCTGCTAATCTATGTAACATACTATGATAGGCTGCTAGTTTATGTTGTGTGGGATGGGATGATAAATTGTGTATAGTCGTGCCAGTATGGGTAGGTTTATGAAATATGGAGAAGTCATGTTTGTTTTTAAGTCTGATAATTTTTAAATCTAAAACATTTATGGATTGATTTTGTTCTGCTTCTATTGTAAATTCAATATGACTATAAAGTGAATTAATATACGATCAAAATTGGTCGAGTTTCCTGTTAGTTCCTGTAAAACATATCAGTACGTTGTCTACATATCTCCACCAATATAAAAACTTTGAATATGGGATATTTTGAAATATTTGTCTTTAGATGATCCGTAAAAATATCTGATAGCAATGGGATTAGAGAATTGCCCATTTTAAGTTCTGCACTGTTATTCCCTTAATGCCCAGTCACATCATCACCCCACCCAACTCAATTCAGTTATCAACCCTCTTATTTCCCGTTCCATAAAACTAAGCGACAATAATCACAGGTCATTCGAAATCAACTCAATAAAGCAAACACTCTTACAAAACAACTACCACAAAACCCAAATCAATAGAAGTAACAACTAAACCCCATTCGATCTAAAAAAAAAAAGAAAAGAAAGATCATCAGAACTTGTGTCCCTCTAAACATCAAAACCATCTTCACTACTCACTCCAAGTTGTCCAATCTCGTCAGACACGTAAAAGACCAAATCCACAATGAAGACCATGGTGTCTACGAAATACCTTGTTCCAGTTGCCCACCTTCATACATAGAACAGACAAACCGACGAATCCATAACCGTATTTACGAACATTCATTAGTCAAACATTCCGATACTACTTCAGCCCTAGCCTAACATCGTATTCAGACAGGCCACCAAATAGATTTCGAAATTAAAATCGAAATTAAAAAACGGCCCAACAGCTTAAATATGTGCGATGACGCTCTTTCGTTAGTTGTGTTTTCGATACTATCTTTCTAAAAATTGTTTTTCTAGAATTCGGTATTACTTTGGTAATAGCCTAATGCAATAATTGCACAAAAGACTCATTTATATTATAATAATATATAATATACATAAAAGAATTTATTAGTACTTATCACTTGTCAAACGCTTTAAAACAAGTAATCGTTTTAATGCTGTCTTCAGGATCGACAAAACTTTAACAATAAATACAGTGTTTATAACTAATTTGTATTTTTATCCACCTAATGGTAAAAGCGTTTTGTTTTGTTTCATATCATAATTTGTTTACTTTACACTTCATGTTAGATTAGGACTCAGATAAAACCGTTCGCTACTTAAAATAGTCTTCAGAAATAAAACTGTTTTACAACTAAACGGTTTGAATATGAAGGTACGTAACATTAATATTAATAGATTATCAAATATATTCATTATTTGAAGACACTATATAGTCCAGGCTGTGAAAAAAAAACGTGTTATAATTCCATAATTAATTGTAGAAGTTGGGCGTTGTAGGGGGGACCTTCCTGAGTAATTCTTATGTAAAAGCGACCGAATATTTTTGGTTATTTTTTTATGGACGAAAAACTGAAAAATTTGTATATTTTTCCTTTCAATAATATATCGTTTAAGGTAATTATTTTGAAGCAAAACTGCTTATAACATATTATTCCTTATTTTTTTTACCTTTCATTTAAGCTTTTGTGAGTTCAATTTGGTCCAATAGTTTATGCATAATTAGCCTTCAAAGACGAAAATCGCTGTTTTTTTCAAATTGCAATATCATCATCATCATAATAAGTCAACTAAGAAAAGCCATAGTTAAGCTGACACTTCTAATAAATGCTGCTTTTAGATTGAGATATGTTCCCAGACTCTGGAAAGTAGCCGAAGTCATTATGATCGCCAAACCAGGTAAACCTCCTAATGAAGTGACATCCTTTCGACCAATATCACTCCTTCCGGTGACGTCAAAATTATTTGAAAAACTTCTACTGAAAAGATTAAAACCAATAATAATAATAAAAGAGAAACATATTTTGTATAACAGGTGTTATACAAAAAAACCTCCCCTTGGCTCCTAGACTAGATATATACCCTTTTCTATGTAAACAGCTTCTTTCCACGAGAAATACTACTGATTAATTTTATTTCATTTTAGACTACCTATCTCATATTCATATTGATTTCGGCTTTGGTTCTCAAGACTACAACAGGAGAATTGTATGTATTAATAGGAAAAGTAATAAGCTTTTTGATAGAATTTGCAAGGCTTCAAACTGTGTTTCTACCTTTTTATCCAGAAACTAAGCTCTTCAGTAAGTACCGTTTTCATTTATTTAAATATTTTACTGCATAAAAGTTAGCAATAAGAAATAAATAGAGAAGAAAAAAAAGCTAGCAATAATACAAAAATCAACACATGAAAAAAATTAAAGTATATACACACACAAAAAAAGTGAGACCCTAGGAATTGACTGCTCGTGTAAATGTTGCTGATTATTTACATTTCCTGCCAAACGCTTTACTTGATTTGTTAAATGCTGCACCTTTAAATATTCGGCAAAACTTATGTCAAAAAACTGTCAATGGTTCGATCAATGTACGAGTTAATAATAACAACGGATTGACCACTGGATTGGAAGAGGAGGTCCAGTTGCTTCGCCCGCAAAGTAGCCGGATTTGAATCCTTGCGATTAGTGTATTTAATACAAGATGCTTGCAATGAATTAAAAATAACTTTGAAATTTTATAGTACATTCATAGTACTGTTAACAGGGCTCAGTAAGCTGGATAGGTAGTTAAAGATGATGGGATTGACAGGCTTATGTACATTCTGTCACATAGAGGATGAAACAGCAGAACACATTTTGTGTCAGTGCCATAGCCTGTATAGATAGATAGTATTGCCCTTATAAGCCTGGACACACTATATTCTTCTTCTCGTGCCGCTCCTTGCGGAGATTGGAAATCATCATGGCCACTGCGACTTTGTTAGCAGCGCGCCTAAAAAGTTCAATCGAACTACACCCAAACCATTCATGTAGATTACGAAGCCACGATATTTTTCTTCTTCCCGCACTTCTTTTGCCCTGCATGATGTTTCTTAAAAGTTCGTACTTTTCACCTCTCACAATGTGCCACAAGTATTCCATCTTTCTAGTTTTTATCTCATTTAGAATTTCGCATCTTTTGTCTAAAGTTTGGAGTACTTGCGTGTTAGTGACGCGGTCCATCCATGATATTCTGAGAATGCGCCTATAGCACCAAATCTCGAAAGCTTCGATGTTTTTTATGGTCAACTGTTTTAGTGTCCAAGCCTCAACTCCATATAACAGGGTAGAAAAGACATAACACCGCAGCATTCGTATTCGTAACTTTATATTGATATCACGATTGCAAAAGAGTTTGCGCATTCTATTAAAGACTGATCTAGCGATTTCTATTCTACATCTAATCTCTTTTGTTTGATCAGTATCGTCTGTGATCCAAGCACCTAGATATTTATAACAGGGCACACGCTCAATCGTTGTATTGTCTATTACAAGATTAGCTCTGATGTTCTATATATAGTGAACACACTATATTAAAGGTAACTAAATCATGAAAAATTGAATGAAGGGGTTTTGAAGAGTGACCTATTTAATCAAGATATTTTCATTTATTTGCTACTTCCAGTTATAGAGAAAGTTGCTTATAACTTCGTTTTTTTTTAAATAGCACACCCTTTTAATTTTAGAAATATTCACATTATTCTGAACATTTTTTGTTAACATTTCCCTTGCCGATTGTGAACCGTTTTTAAGTTATTACGGTTTTTATATAAAAATTACGATTTTCTACCATGTATATAAAGGTCAATATTTTCTAATGTAATTAGAATAAAAGTTTAAATTCCTTATGAACTTATTAACCAGATACAACATTATCGTTTACAGTGTAAAGTTGCCTTTTTCATTATCTAGGGTGCTATCAAAATTATTTTTTGTCTAATTCCTTTTTTTTTCAAATGGGACAACCTGTATGTGATTCATTATTTTCTATCGATCTGTATTAGTATTCGCTATACCTATCTCTTGCAGTTTTCAAATAAATTAACTTTATACATTTTTACTAACAATAGTTTCTTGCTGATACGAATTAATGCATTTTTTAGCGAAAACAAAACCAGAGTATGATTTTATTATCATTGGGTCTGGTCCATCTGGAGCTGTCGTTGCGAACAGGTTAACAGAAAATTCCAACGTGAATGTACTAATGTTAGAACAAGGAGTCGAACCAGGCTTGATTGCCGATGTGCCCATCATAGCTGGTGCTTTGGAATTCACGAGCTATAACTATAGATATAAATCTGAACCACAAGAACATTTTTGTAGAGGTAGAGTAGACATTTTTACTATTCCTTGTATCTTTACCTCGGTAATTTAATCAAACAAATTTCGTAGCCGCAAAATTCACTGAAAAATACTTTCACCGCTACTTTCTCTTGTTTTTTGGCGACCAGATAATTTTGACTTGTTTTGTCGATAAATGAATCAAATATATATTATAAGATTTTTATTTTTCCGGTAATAGAAAAAACAAAACGCAATTAACACCATAAATCTAATTTTCAGCTTGTACAGATAAAAGAATGGAATGGCCACACGGTAAAGTATTAGGTGGAAGTAGTGTTATGAATTACATGATATTCGTTCGTGGAAATGCTCATGATTACGATAAATGGGAAGAAATGGGAAATCCAGGATGGTCGTACAAAAATATGTTACCCTTGTTAAAGAAAATGGAAGATGCTAACGTTGAAAATAGTGATACGGAATATAGAGGGACTGGTGGCCATTTGTCAGTAAGCGATGTCCCATACAGGACTGAAATAGTACATTCATTTGTCAATGCATGCCAAGAAGCTGGGCATAAGTATCTGGATTATAATGGAAGGAAACAATTGGGGGTAAGCTCTTTTATTTCGACAAAATGTAGAATTTGGTTAAACTAAGTAATAGCCTAAGATTACTAGATGAAAATTGATATATTATAATAATACTGTTATTGCTACTAATACGTTAAGTCACGAGATTCGCTGTTTTTACTTTTGCAAACTCCCAAACTTAACTCCCACTTCTTCTCGTGCCACTCCTAGCGGAGATTGGAAATCATCATGGCCACTGCGACTTTGTTAGCAGCGCGCCTGAAAAGTTCAATCGAACTACATCCGAACCATTCACGTAGATTACGAAGCCACGATATTTTTCTTCTTCCCACACTTCTTTTGCCCTTAATTTTGCCCTGCATGATGTTTCTTAAAAGTTCGTACTTTTCACCTCTCACAATGTGCCCCAAGTATTCCATCTTTCTAGTTTTAATCTCATTTAGAATTTCGCATCTTTTGTTCAAAGTCTGGAGCACTTGCGTGTTAGTGACGCGGTCCATCCATGATATTCTGAGAATGCGCCTATAGCACCACATCTCGAAAGCTTCGATGTTTTTTATTGTCAACTGTTTTAGTGTCCAAGCCTCAACTCCATATAACAGGGTAGAAAAGACATAACACCGCAGCATTCGTATTTGTAACTTTATATTGATATCACGATTGCAAAAGAGTTTGCGCATTCTATTAAAGACTGATCTAGCGATTTCTATTCTACATCTAATCTCTTTTGTTTGATCAGTATCGTCTGTGATCCAAGCACCTAGATATTTATAACAGGGCACACGCTCAATCGTTGTATTGTCTATTACAAGATTAGCTCTGATGTTCTTTGATTTCGTGATTACCATAAATTTAGTTTTTTTCAAATTAATTTTCAAGCCGTAACTGTTACAGTATATATTGATACTTTGAACGAGATGTTGTAGTTCTGCTAGCGTTCCCGTTAGGAGAACTGTATCGTCAGCATACCTTATATTGTTGATCGTCTCACCATTTATTATCAGACCAAGATCTTCTTCCTCGAGTGCTTGTTCACAGATAGCTTCACTATACAGATTAAACAAAAGTGGCGATAAGATACATCCCTGCCGGACTCCTCGACGGATTTGAATTTCTTCTGTTAGTCTGCCCTCAACCTTGACATTTGCTGTTTGATTCCAATATAGATTGCATATAATTCGAATATCTCGGCTGTCTATATTTTTCTTTATTAGAACTTGTCTTAATGGTTCATGTTGTACTTTGTCAAAGGCCTTTTCGAAATCAATAAAGCAGGCGTAAATTTCTTGGTTCATGTCTAAGCATCTCTGTGAGAGAACGTTCATTGCAAACAGAGCCTCCCTTGTACCCAGCCCTTTTCTGAAGGGAACTCCCACTACAAAACTAAAAAGCACTTCCTTTAAATTTCTCAGCCATGACAGTCCTTTTTTCCGTGTAGATATTATTACATTAATTAAGATCCGGTCCTACACGTATTGTTCGAAAATGTTGTTTGAAAATGTTAAAATGTTCGAAAATTGTTTTCTTGTAGTATGTCCATGTTGCATTAAATTAAAATAAGTAGCTGATGAGCCACCTGCGACACCTCTCACAGCTCCCCTACGTTGCTTCGCGCATTTCTATTATTTCGCAAAATGTGATAATTGGTCATTCAAATGACATCAATGGATCGCAAGTGAGCAGGTAAATATATAGAATTTAAGGATTGGATTTTTTGTTTTGAATTAGACCAAAACAGGTTTAAAAATAGATCATGATCATCTGTCAGCACTGATAGCCCATGGAGGGGCATAGTCGTCTAGTAGAGTTTCTAGGCTGTAAAATTTTACATAGTGTGGAAGTCAGCCACACGCATTAAAAATAGCTATCTGTAATTATAATTTTTTATCTGACTGAATCTGACCAATTTCTGATCCAGTACAACCAACTCGAGTGTAGAGACTCGAGATATAGGCAACGAATACATAATATATATGAAAATGCAACTATGATAGTACAACTAGATGAAAATACAAATCCCATCCCCATTAAGAGAGGAGTGAGACAAGGAGACGTAATAACGCCAAAGCTTTTCAACCTAGCCCTAGAAGACGTCTTCAAAACTACAAATTGGTCAACCTATGGCATTAACGTTAATGGCAACAGAAGACCCCAGACATATAACTATAAACGGCAGTGAGATAGAACAAATTCAGGAATATATCTACCTAGGCCAAATCCTGAGACTTGACAAAGAGAACCAAAGTGCGGAAATTACTAGAAGAGCAAGACTAACATGGGCAGGATTTGGAAAACCGAGTTGGATACTTAAGAACCACAAAATACCCCAATACTTAAGGAGCAAAGTGTTCAACCAATGCATCCTTCCTATTATGACATATGGATGTCAAACCTGGACCCTAACTAAGGCAAACATGAATAAACTAGCCACAACAGAAAGAACAATGGAAAGACCAACGTTGGAGTACTACAATACAACATTGGAGACCTTCCGAAAGTAACCGACCAAGAGGAAGACCACAGATGAGAGGGGTTGATGACATTAGAAGAATAGCCGGAACAAATTGGAAATATGTTGCTCAGGATAGAGACCGATGGAAGGAGTTGGGAGAGGCCTATGTCCAAACATGGACGACAGAAGGCTAAGAAGAAGAAGAAGACAACCAACTATTTTTATAGAGTTCTCAACTGATTTTTGTATAATTCGGAAAATCATATAAATTTTTTTATTTTATATTATAAATACAATAATTATATTCTATTACTTGTTGCCAGTATATAGTTGTATACAGTTTATCTGCTTTGTTTCTTTTAGGTATCGTACATTCAAGCTACTCTAAGAAACGGTCTTCGCTGTAGCGCCGAAAAAGCTTATATTCGTCCAGCAAGTGTAAGAAGTAATTTAAAAATAAAAGTAAACTCACAAGTCACAAAAATATTGGTTGATAAAAACACAAAAACAGCATATGGAGTTGAATACCTTTATAGAGGTAAAAGATATTATGTGCGGGCTAAAAAAGAAGTTATTTTATCTGCTGGAGCCCTAAATTCTCCGCAAGTTCTAATGTTGTCCGGAATTGGACCTAAAGATCATTTAAATGAGCTTGGTAAGCACAAGTTATTTAAGATATATATTTAAAAGAGGAAATATTTTTGGATAAATAGATAATAGACAAATTATGTATACTCTTACAATAAATAAATGTGTAAAAGATTAAATCTTTTACACATTTTTTTCATATTTCGCCTATTTTTATAGGCATCATTAGGGTTAAGGTTTTAGGGTTAATATCGCATAAAAGCATTGGTATGTTAATTGGGGTTTAGTAATAATTTGAATCAGTTCCTGATACACATCATAATTTTTTATTCTAGTGGTTGGGCATTTCCAAAATATGTGTTCTAATGTTTTCATTTGTCCGAATTTGCAGTATGGGTTATCGCGAATGTTGATTTTATAAAAATGTACTCCTGTCAGGCAATGACCATTCCTTATTCTAATAGTGGTAGTAATATGCTGAATATCTATGAATGGGATTATGTCAAACCATGGTTTATTAGAAAAAAATTTGTGTATGTTGTTATACTTTCTTCTTCTTAACGTGCCCTATCAAGGCCCCTTGACGTTGGCGATTAACATGGCGAAACTGTCTCTGTCTCGAGCTATTCTAAAGAGTTGCTCAACTTTCCTTATTCCTGTCCACTCCCTGATATTCTTCAACCAAGAGGCCTGCTTTCTACCAATTCCTCTGCGTCCTTCGATTTTACCCATCTTAATAAGTTGTAGAATATTATATCGGTCTCCCCTTACTACATGTCCAAAATAGGCCATTTTTCTTGTTGTTATACCACTTACCTTTATTTACTTTACAGATTTATGAATTGAAGTAGGATTAGACATTTATTTGATGTACAATTTTGTTTTATATAATTGGATAGTTAATAAATTTTTTTTGGTCAGTAATATATTAAGTTATACAGGTTAAGTACTTTATCAACAATCAACATTGTTAATAAATTAAGCGGCAGATCTTGGGCAAACCTTTTAACTTTGTTCTTCATTTCTTGTAATAATAATGCTCTAAAAAACATTGTATAGATGGCAAGCTCTTTAAAATACGCAAAAGAATAACAATAATAGCAATAATAACATCAATAATAATAACAACAACCTGAACAACAATTACCTGAAATATATCGTCAAAGACCCTCAGGTCCAAAACGACAAATGCCGATATGGATGTCAAACCCAAGAAACTATCCATTTTACCGGAGACTGCCAGGCATTTGCTTCAACTGAATATAAGGAACGGCATGACTTAGTAGGGAAGATCCTCCATCAAGAGATAGCTTTTAAACTGGGACTTCTACAAACAAACCATCTCTAATATTATCAATACGTTAAGCTATACTGGGATCGCACTGTGCTCACAGACCAAACTGTAGCACATAATAGACCAGATCTCGTGCTAGTTAATAAACTAACAAGACAAGCAACTCTAATCGATGTGGCGATACCTAACAACAATAATCTGCGTGTTAAGTACAACGAAAAGATCGCCAAGTACAGAGATCTGGAAATATAAATAAGAAGACAATGGAGAACGGAAAGTACCCAGACAATACCTGTTATTCTTTCTACCACTGGAGTCATTCCGAAGAACCTCCTAGAAAACATACAAAAGCTGGGTCTAAATGAACATCTATATAAGGTCATGCAGAAAGCTGTGCTACTTTCGACGTCCAGATGCGTGCGAAAATTTTTAGAAGATACACCGACGTACCAAGTCACCTAGGACTCGATAACATGGAAAGAGTCCCACTAGAGCTCAATCCTTTTGATACCGTAGGTATCTGGGATGAGTGAATTTTCCCCTTAGAGGGAGTGTGAGCCGTAGGGCTAAATCTGGATAACAACAATAACAAATCCAGAAAGCAAAATAGAAGTCAAACGGTTAAGAGCGTAAGCGCACAATTTCGGGCCAATGGTTTTTAAATGCATTCATTTTTTTCGAATCCTGAGAAAACTAAAAATTTTTTTGAAAAATTTAAACGCAGAATGAAAGATTACATTATTACCGAGGGCCGAAAGTCCCTTAGAATAAACAAAAAGTTTTTTTAAATGAGATATTTAAAATTAAAAATCACACTTAATTTTCTCTTAATTTTCACCCCTGTAACTTATTAAAATAAACATTATAGAAGTTTTTAGCGACTTTCAGCCCTCGGTAATAATGTATTCGTTTATTCTGCGTTTAAATTTTTCAAAAATATTTATTAGTTTTCTTAGGATTCGAAAAAAATAAATGCATTTGCAGTCTCTTCTTCAGAAGACATTGCTTAAACTCTTGCTTCCACCTTTGAACAATATTTCTTTAGCGAAAGCTACGACATAGGGTTTAAGGACTACAAGCTAAAGAAAGAACGCACCATCTTGTCTCTAGAAAAATTTCACGAAAACCCCCTATCTCGACCTCTTATTATTACAGAAAATATAACCTCTTACTATATCGAAAATTTCTTTCTATCGACTCTTCTTTCCAAGGAAGAGTTAATAACGTTTCTTTAAATGTTTATATTACAGGAAACGGTACCCACAAGGCTCAATACTTAGTCACATCCTATTCCTATTTGCCACAAACAACATAATAAACAAATTACATAAACCTTTCAAAGCTCGCCTCTATGCCAACGATTTAGTGGTGTACGTTAAAGGATCACAAGAAGAATCGATGTGCAGATCAGTATAGATATGTTTAAACCAACTAGATGAATGGACACCTAGTACATGCTTTGAATTTTCCGTTACAAAGACAACTGGTATGGTGTTTACAAAAAATCATCCATTACACCAGTCCTTTATCTTTACAATAGCATGTGGCTCTCTTCTAAAACTCCGTTAAATGCCTTGGTATGTGGCTGGATCAAAAACTTTTTTGGAAAAAGCACATACAACACTTGTCGCTAACATACAACAAAAGACTTAATTTGCTTAAAACCGTATCAAATTGTTTCTGGAGTTCCGACTTCTCTACACTACTTCTTCTGTATAAAACACTAATTAGATCAAAACTCGATTACGGTTCAATTTTTTACGCCCCCACAACCAAGAGTACCCTAAAACCGTTAGATACAATCCACAATGCCGTACTTCGGATCGTTCTTGGAGCTTTTTACACTTCACCTATAGAAAGCTATATTCCGAAACTGGAGAACCATCATTGCAGTATAGATGGACACTTTTAACACGTTTACATGCTTCTTCTGTCGCTGCTAATAAGGATCATCCAGTTTTCGAAAATACTTTTTTTAAAATAATCTCGATTTTCTCTTTAATAAACCTCGTACTAAAAAACCTTATTACATATGAGTAAGATCAATTCTGAATAATTTTGACACAACAATCTCAGATGTATTTCACTGTAATATCGAACATCCGACTCCATGGTTAATAAGCATCCCAATTTGCAACACCTCTCTAATAAAGTTCTTTAAAAAAATGTAATAACAACATACTAATCAAAAACAAACTAAAGGAGATTCTTGAACGAGACTAACTAACTGCACAAACATCTTTACCCATGCCTCTAAATCTAATATTGGCATTGGTTGTGTATTTGTTACACCAACGTCTACCTTCAAATTTAAACTACCACCTAGCTCAAGTGTTTTCACCGCTCAACTGTTTGCTTAATACCGTGCCCTAAAACATGTAGATCTCTCAAGAATTTCAAAACCTCTCTCACCAACTCGTTCAGCTCTCGTCTTGCAATACAGCATCTGCATCCTAAACAGCCCTTGGACCAACTAATAAAACAAACCGCCAAGAGAACCACATAACTCCTAAATTTATAAGGATCACATGGCATATAGGAATTATCGGCAATGAAGAGGCAGACAGTAGTGCTTGTGATGCAGCAGTAAGTGCGGAATCTGAATTAGTCTGTGATAGTGTATGTAAAGATCTCAAAACGTTTTATAAACAAAAAGTGATTGGTCAGTGGCAGCGCGAATGGTTTCTATCGCAATCTTAATTAAGATTGCTAAAATCAGATACACAACAGTGGAAAACTAGTGCTAGTACACGGTTTATTCCATCGGTTCTAACGCGCTTACGTATGGGACACACTAAGATCACACACTCTTATTTACTTTCGGCCAGTAGACATCCTCTGTCTAAAGTGTCCAAAATACAATCGAGAACGTTCAATAAACAATATACCAAATACTCTACCAGATTTATTACGAGAAAACTGTCACGTAAAAAACTTAAATTAAATTACCTAAGGCCAACCAATATTTTGTATCAGATTTAAAGTTTTGTTTACTGAGTAACGCCGCTAAAAACCTGTTGATAAATAAAATAAAATAAAATGAAATAAAATAAAAATAACAACCCTCACACTAACAAAAACTATTTAACATAAAACTTTTTTTTATCTCACTATTATTTATATATTTTATTACACTAAAATCGGCAGAATCATATCCTGTGATATGATTATGTTTTGTTTTTTTTTTATATTTTTAGGTATCCCGATGCTAAAAGACTTGCCAGTTGGTGAAAAAATGTATGATCATGCAACGTTTCCAGCTATTATGTTTGAAGTAAATCAAAGTATTGTTCTAAATGCTGTTACAGGCTTTTTTAATCCATTAAATTATATTGGGGTTATCTCAGATGCCGGATTGTTCACTTCGATAGGTAGGTAAAACACTTTATTCCCGTTTCGCTTCCTTGTTAATAATTTATAGTGTTTTTCATGCATATATACTCGAAATTTAATAGGATGGTCAGTATGCTATTCTCTATCTGCTTAACACTTGATGAAAAGCGACTAAATACTGATATATTTACCTTAAATTAATATTTTTGCTGCTAACAGTTGCTATAGACAAAATATATTGCGAAATTTATTATTCACTACGATGTGCACTTTATGTATTAGTACAGTCAAGACGTACCTGAATGACAAGTGATGGATAGCGAGAGCATTAGTTTTTTCGATAGTAGTAAACTACTGTTGGTAAGTGTGTATGAGCTTTCGTGCTGCTTGAAGTCTGAATTTCTACCTACACAGAGATTCAAAACTTGAAGTCTTAAACAAAATTTAACGAATACTTTAATATTAGCTGAAAAAGTTTAATCAAGACTAAAACAGATAAAGTTTTAAAACTTGAGGAAACACAAGACTTAATAAAAGAGATACAACAACTTAAAATGGAAATAACAGAAACAAACAACATAACCTCACAAAAAAAGTCTAGGAAAGATACAAGGAAGTACAGAATAACACGTTTAAATAAAATACTAGAAAAAAGGCAAAATAGACTGGAAGAAGAAAACAAGCGGAGGTAAAAAATCTAACTACAAAACGAATTTATCATGTATTAACTAACTCGCTAATTATATAGCTAAAAGAAAAACCATCAGCAGATAAAAAAACACCAAAACATAGTAAAAAATGTCGGATCTGAAGATTTGCTAGATATAACAGAGGAAGAAATAAAAACGCAATGAGCACTATGAGAAATAAAAAAGCTTCAGTTGAAGACTTTTGAAGAAGTTTGTTTTGTGTAAAACTTAAAGAGTTCGCTGATTAATATTTAATTTAAAATAACAAATAAATGCAATATGTGTGAATGGATATGTAATGTAGATGATTGTAATTCAAATAACAATGGGCAGATTTAATAACATTCATAGTAACTGGACGGATGGACAGCGGCTTCTGTGGATGGTGCATCGCTCGGAACCTTAAGGTAGGCTGGACGCACATTTACGCTGGTAGGGATTTTGGCTGGTTTTGAGATGCGTTTGCGACGACGAGTTGGTTTAGTGCCCGTACATATGGAAGAAGTGAATTCTCATAACTTGACAATAATGAATTAACCAATTTGAGTTTGAGAATTTAAAAGATGTGCAACTAAAGCCATATTATAATTAGCTAATATATTATAATTAATAAAAGAGGTATAACTAAATAGGGTCATATTTTGAATAATAAAAATAAAATAATTAAATAAATCTTGAACACTTTGCCAAACACTTTCTATTACTTATCGGTATTTTGGAAAGCATGTATATTATGGTTTGTTTTATTATTATTATTGTGTAACAAAAATAAAATATTACCATTGACTAAGAAACAAATTTTCAATTATTCTAGTAACAAAACGTTCAAAGTATTTAGTAAAACTGTTTTTAATTTTTAATATGTCACAGGGGGAGTCGAAGCAATTAATTATATAAAAACTAAATATGCAAAGGATCCTGATCCTGGTTATCCTGATATTGAACTACTAATGATTGGAGGAGCTCTCAGCACAGACTTTGGTTTTGTTTTTAGAAAAATATTCAATATTCCGCCAAAGGTGTACAACAAACTGTTTGGTCCATTGGAAAATAAATACGTTTATCAGGTAATAACGTCTTTTAAAGTTTTTCGTAATATTTAAATATTTTTTTATTGGTACCCTATTTTGCGTACTTAAAGTACGTCTTAGCGTGATCAACTTCAACTTTTAAAAATCAGTTTAGACAAACAAGACATTGAGTTTATTAAGACTATATACTGGAACCAGAAAGCAGTAGTAATTGTGAACGATATACAAACAAATAATATGCCGATTGCCAGAGGGGTCAGGCAAGGATGCGTCTTGTCTCCAACGCTTTTCAATATGTACTCACAGGTTATATTCAGAAAAGCCTTATGGGAAAGAAAAGAGGGAATAAGAATTGGTGGAGAAATCGTAAACACCATGAGATTTGCAGATGACACGGTAATTATGGCTGAGAGTATAGAATAACTACAAACTTTACTAGACGCAATAAATAGTGAATGCATTCAAATGGGACTTGGCATCAACACAGATAAGACCAAATTTATGATAGTATCAAGGAGTCCAATAAATAATGAACAACTAAGCCTTGGTAAACAGCAGATAGAGAGAGTGACAAAATATAAATATCTGGGAGCTTACATCAACACAGTATTAGATCCAGACCAAAAGATCAGAATACGAATAGAAATGGCAAGGGCAGCGTTCTTAAGATTCAAGTAATTGTTCTGTGACAAAAATCTGAATACTGCGCTGAGACTGAGGTTTAATGAATGTTACGTCTGGTCCCAACTACTGTACGGGATAGAAACATGGACGTTAAAAGCGCAAACAGTTAAGAAGATTCAAGCCTTTGAACTTTGGATATACCGGACAATGTTGAGAATTCCATGGACTGCCAGGGTCACCAATGAAGAAGTGCTGAGAAGGATGGGAGTAACAAAAAATTGTTGAGAACAATAAAAGTACGCAAGACTGCATACCTTGGACACATACTGAAGAATGTTAAATATAGTCTTCTGCAGGTCATCACGCAGAATAGAGTCGATGACAAAAAGGAAATAGGTAGAAAGAGGAAGTTATGGCTGCGAAATATTCCAGACTGGACAAATATGACTGTAGATGAATTATTCCACGTTGCAAAAGACAGAGAAACTTTCAGAAATGTGGTCACCAACCTTCGTTAATGGAGATGGCATAGGAAGAAGAAGCAATTTAAAACCAACAGATTAAAAATATATGGAGGGACTGCTTTGTGTCAGTTTTCTCTGCCGCACTGGAGGAACGCGGTTGTATTGTAGCACTCAGTCTATTTGCGCTATGTGTATGCCTATGAAGAAAACCACACCCCACAATTTTTGAAATAATTGAAACGTCAAATATTAATTTAAAAATGTAATTTTAAGTAGAATCAACTGTGGCTTAAACCAGGGCTTCCCAAACTGTGCGTTGTGACGCACTAGGGCGTCGATGCGTTGTCTCAGCGGCGTCGCGTGTTAGCGCGGACTTTTAATACAGAAAATATATTTATTTGATTTTAAATGAGTATAAAATGTATTTATTGATAAATCAATCAAATAAAAAATATAGCATCAAGTCGATAGACTTGTGTTTTATTACGCACGCGAAGTATTTTGCTATCAACAATGGATACTTATATTCAAAAGAATGAAAAACGAAGTGAAGAATCAGGCTAGAGCAGTAATGTTAATTTAAGTAAAAAGAAGAAATATAGGAAATATGACGACCAATACTTGGATTTTGGATTTACCTGCGTTACTAAAGGGAATGTAGAACTTCCAAAATGTCTTGTTTGTCGTAAAGTGTTGTGACGGTTGAAAGTATGCTTTCTAATAAATTAAAACGGCATTTGGAATTATCTCAAGTCATTTACAAGGTAAACCCAAAGACTTTTTTGTAAGAAAATTGCGGGAGCTAAAACATCAGACCACGACTTTGGTTTTAAGAGCGTAACTCCTACCAAAGCATTGCTCACCTCTTACATGGTAGCTTACCGTGTTGCCAAATGTAAAGAACCACATACGATCGCTTAAGAATTGATCTTACCTGCAGCGGTTGATATGGTAACAGTGATTATTGGAAGATCAGCAGCTAAAGAAATAAAAGATGTACCTGTTTCAAACAATACTGTTAGTTGCCGTATTCACGACATAGCAGTAGCTATTAATGAGCAAATTGTGGGGAAACGTTCAGGTTTATTTGCCATTCAACTGGACGAGGCGACTGATACAATATAAAAGAAACAAATACACGTGAGGATTTGTTATTTTGCAGACAAATATGTGAAAGTTGTAAAACTACTGATTTATTCGAGATTTTAAACTTATGTATAGCTGAAAATACTATTAATAGAATAACTGTGTAGGCGTGTGTACAGATGGTGCCCGAGCGATGTCTGGACATTATGGAGGACTACAAGCTCTCATCAAAACCAAGGCTCCAAATGTAAAATTGACACATTGTGTCATACATAGAGAGGCCTTAACAGCAAAGAACGTTACACTTGAATTAAGTGTTATGATGGATAGAATTATTAAAGTGGTGAACTACATTAAAACACGACCCGTGAAATCAAGACTTTTTCATAAACTTTGTGAATAAATGGGGATCGAGCACACCTCTTTAATTTATTACTGCAACTCTCGTTGGCTGTCCAAAGGCAACATGCTCGCACGTGTATACGAATTAAGAAATGAATTTTAACATGTATCTGCACTCAGAATCACATAATGATATATAAAACTTCATTAATTCGGAGTTTATAATAAAATTTCTTTATAAAGTTTCTTTCTAAAGTAAATTTCTCTAAAAAGTCTTTGCATGGAAACAATACTCATATCCTGCAATTGGCAGATAAAATTACTGGGTTTCAGAAAAAGTTGCTCTTATGGAAGAGACAATTAGAAGATCAAGAAATTGACTGTTTCCCTGCTTTACGAGGTATTCCATAAAAAAATATGTTTACAGAACACATGTTATCATAGAGCGAATTCTTTGAAAAATATTTTCCCAAAGGTATGGAGCAATATGACTGGATCACAAACTCTTTCCTCTCATCCACGCCATCGAGACTTTCAACAGAGGAAGAACAACTGACTGTGAATTCAGCCTAAACTTTACTTTATCGTGTCTGTTTACTTTGTTTCTGCATGTAGAAGATGTTCCATATTCTGTGTTTCTCCACAGTTACAGTTCACATCATCTTGGTCTATTTTTCCCCATTTTGCCATGTTTGATTTTACTGTAGCAACCCCCGTTCTTATCCTATTTAAGGTTTTCCACGTTTTAAAGTCTAGGGTCTGGCCGGTCCATTGAACCTGGGGAAGTGGAAAATACTCAGGCAGTTCATCCTGCACCGTTCCAAGGAAGCTTTTCCTAGATTTTAGTCGCTTTCGTGGTGTTCGAGCTTTGTATAGGGCATGCCGATCGTCCGCAATCTGTTTAATTTTCTCTATATGTTCTGCAGCGACTCTGCGTGTTGAGGGTTCTGCAAAACCCGCTGCTCTATATAGATTTGAAAGTGGCGTTGGTTTCATGCACCCCGTTACTATCCTGCATGTCTCATTTAGCGCAGTATCAACTTGTTTGGTGTGGGCAGATCTGCTCCAAACGGGGCATGCATATTTAGCAGTTGAGAAACACAGTGCCTGTACCGTTCTTCTTAAAACGCCAGGACGTGCGCCCCATTTACTTTCCGTTAGCTTTCTGAGTATGCTGTTCCTAGTTGTTACTTTCCCTCTTGTTTTTATGCAATGTTGTCTGTAGGTGAGGGACCGGTCCAGAGTTACTCCAAGATATATAGGTTAATTTGTGTGTTCTAATGCATTACCATTCCACACAATTTGGAGTTTTCGCTTGGCTTCCTTTGTGCGAAAGTGTAAAGCGCAGACTTAGGTTTTAGAGGGATTGGGTCTCAGAGAATTCTGCAGGTAGTACGCTGTCATTGTTTTTACGGCAGTTTCGAGTTTCTCCTCCACTTCTTCAAAACTATTTCCTTGAGCACATATTGAGCACATATTAAGATCGTCAGCATAGAGGAAGTGCTTGGTTTCGGTCGGAGTAGGTTGGTCGTTAGTGTATATATTGAAGAGCATTGGCGCTAAAACACTTCCCTCTGGGAGGCTGTTTTTTTTAACTCTCCACCTACTTACTTTACCCTCCAGCATAACAAAAAAACGTCTATTTTGCAGTAAGGAATATACGACCTTTTCCAGATGGTGGTCATTGAGAGTGTCGTATAATTTACGGAGTAATGTTTTGTGCCTTACTGTGTCATAGGTTGCTGTCAGATCTACAAAAGCAGCCCCTGTTATAAGTTTTTCTTCAAAGCCCTCTTCAATGTGTTCTGTTAATGTGGGGACTTGACCGGTGCAAGATTTGCCAGGTCTGAATGCTCCTTGTTGTGGGATGAGGTGCTTGTCGACATTTTTTTCTATTCTGGCGAGTATGAGTCTCTCGTATAGTTTAAAAAAGTGACACAATAGCGAAATAGGTCTGTAGCTACTGGGGTCTTCTGGATCCTTTCCTAGTTTTAACAAGGCTATTACTTTAGATTTCCTTCATGATTTTGGAATTTTGCAGGTTTTGCAGCACGTGTTATAAAATTACAAGATCCAGTTTTTTGCTCCTTGGCCTAAATGCTTTATTTGTTCACTGCATATATCATCCACACCTGCAGCTTTCCGGTTTTTGAACCTGTTCAGACCATCGTGGATTTCTTTTAGTGTAAAAGGAGTTCCTAGGTGGTTTGTCTCCGAATTAAATCTTCTCCTAGTGTTTGGGTCCTTATATCGGTTGGTATTTCTTCCATTCGTAAGGAGTTGAGTAGCGACTTGGTTTGCTGTAACCTTGCAAGGTGGTTTATGTTCTTTTGGATCACCGCTGAGTTTTTTTACAAGGTTCCATGCTATTTTGCTACTAAGTGTCATGTCCATTTTTTCCAGGGTCTCAATCCACTTTTCCTGTCAGGCTTGACTTGGCTGTTGGAGTAGTACTGCTCCGCAGTCAACCGTTTCTTGGCTAAAAGGGTCAGTGGAATAGAGGGTTTCGTATGTTCTCATTAAATCTTTGGACTCGCTGGACATACCGGGAACATATTGTTGTCTACATCTGCCTAAAGCTTCAATACGACAAGGATAAACCTGTTTAAATTTTGGAGCTCACTTTCTCATAAATATCATGCTATCAGCACTGCTTCATTAAAGATTTTATTACCATTTGCGACTTCATACTTGTGCGAAACGGATTTTCTGCAGTTGCAGTAATTAAAAACAAGTACAGGTCAAACATAAACAGAAAAAGAAATAAGAGTAGTCATTTCTAAACTGAAGCACCGGTTTTTTAAGCTGTGATCAAAAAAGCAAGCACATCCCTCACATTAACAAGAGAGTTACATAAATAAATATCCCTTATCATTTTTGTGCCTATGTTTTGATTTCGTTCTTAATTTCTGATAAAAAATATAAATATTCAAATAATGTGTTTGTTATACCCTGTTACTAGGTTGGTACTAAAATTGGTAAGCAGTATTAGGGGTTGGGTTGAGGGAAGCCCTGGCTTAAACATAATGTTTAATTTAGTTAAGACATGCCACCACAAACAATTTCAGAAACCTTTTACACGATATATGTATATTCAAATAAAAAATAAATAGATGCAATTTTCTTTTAACATACAGAGATTATCTAATTCATGGTCACCTGAGAAAACTACGTATCTAACGAATCACGTCAACTGTATTGAATTTGCAATTATTTTTCTTGAATTTTGTATGTATCGTAGCCAGATAATAGGAGCCATTGATACATTTCGTTATAGGTCTAAGGTCTAAGATATCAACTCATCCATAAGTATCGTTTATTTTAAAAGACATTGTATTTTTCCTTAATAGTTTGTTTACAACTTAAATTAGATTAGAATATATTACATTTGACATATGTATCAGTAATAGCTTTACCGTTAATAAGACGTTATTTTTTTTACAGCTAGAACCCATATAAAATGTATTCTTCTTTATTTTAGGTAACCCCAGTTTTACTCCATCCGGAATCATACGGTTCTATCAAATTAAATAAATCAAACCCTGAAGGTGCTCCATTGTTTTATGCTAACTACTTTTCCGATCCAGAGAATCATGACATCAAAACTTTCATTGAGGGAATGCGAGAGCTTCAGAGGATAAATTTGATGCCATCTCTACAAAAGGTTGGAGCCAAACTGGTCGATATACCAGTGCCAGGTTAGTTTAAAAATGATATTAGACTGTCGTCAAAACAAAATCTGCTTAGGATGTTCAGTTATGCTCATGCAAAAATAAAACGCAGATTGTGTCAATAGATAACCTACCCAGGTTGTTTATTTTGTTTCTTGGTGCTGGGATTATATTTTGCATTGTATTTTTTGATAGTATGATGATCTGATGTTCTTCGGAGAAGATGAGGCGAACAGGGAATAGATCACATATCGTTCGTAAAACGGTTCTTTTTCAAATTTGTTGTTTGATATTATTATTTAGTAATCCAAACTGTGTGTCACCAAGTTGTTGTTCTATTTTTTAGTACATCCAAGAGTGCAAAATTTGTAGAAATTTCTTTAAAACATGACTCATCAAGCTGATGGTTCAGTAGTCAATACATCTTTTTGCATTTGATTTTTTAGGTATCGTCACAAAAGTCGACAGCCGCCAATCCGTTGGTATATAGCCAGTTTCATAAATTTTATTAAACAAATGAAGGAGAGATATTTTACCTGAACTTTCGAAGAGCTTTATTATTTCACTCGGTATTTCATCTGGTCTCGTCGCTTTTCGGGTCTTTGCTTATCGTATTGCTTGTTCAATTTCGTCCATAGTCATGTTAGGTCCTGTAACTACTTCGTTAATTTCAAGCTCGAGCCTTTCATCGCTAAACAGTTCCTCAATATACTCTTTCGATCTGTCTATTTTATGCAAATTGGTGATAATCAATTTTCCGTCTCTATCAACAATGTTATTTGCCGGTTTTTGTTGTGACCTGTCAGTTTTTTTATTTTTTTTATACATATTAAATGAATCATGTTTTCCCTGTAACTCTTCAATTTCTAAACATTTGTTTTCGAAGTATATTTGTTTTGCAGTTCTTATTTTAGTTCTTATCTCTTTATTAATAACTTTATACATTTCGACTTTTTGGTTCTTAAAATTGCGTCTTTTTCCATCAAATTTAAAATCTCATCGTTCATCCACTGTTGTTTTTTTGACTGCTTTTTTTTTAAGTTTGGAGTTGAGTTGCTTATAATTGTTTTGATTTGGTTATAATGACCCTCGATGGATTCTTGTTGTTGTTTTTCTTCTTCTTCTTCAGCCTGTGTTCGTCCACTGCTGGACATAGGCCTCTTCCATTTGCTTCCATCGATTTCTACTTTTGGCAATTCTCATCCACTGCTTGCCCGCGACTTGTTTGATATCGTCTGTCCACCTCTTCTGCGGTATGCCTACTCCTCGCCTGTTCTCTCTTGGTCTCCAGTTTGTTAATCTTTGTGTCCATTTTTCGGGATTATCTCGGGCAACGTGTCCGACCCATTGCCACTTGAGCGTTACAATACGTTCTGAGACATCAGTAATTTTTGTTCTTTCACGAATGACGTTATTTCGAATCCTGTCTCTCAAACTAATCCCTAGCATGGCCCTCTCCATTGCTCTTTGGTTTGTACTGAGCTGCTCTAAGGTTTTCTTTGTGAAGGCCATGGACTGGAGACCATGGCCTTCTTGTTGTTCATAATTCTCAAAATTGCAATCATCTGCAATTGCAAATTTTTTGCAATCATCTGACTATTGTTTCTAATAAAATCCTTATCCAGTTTGTTATAGGATCGTTGTTGTTTTATCCGTTTAAGTTTTCATTTTATTTCGGCTAACAACAGATTGTGATCAGATGGAACATCGGCACCAGGAAAAGTTTTTACAGACTTTACTGCATTTCTGTAACGCTCACTGATAGTTATGTAATCAATTTGGTTTCTGACGGTATTACGGGGAGTGTCTGCTGGAGATTTCCATGTATAATAATCTCTGTTTAGGTACTTTGAAAAAGGTGTTCATTATACATAGGTTAGGTTCTTTGCAAAAATCTGCGAAATAATCTCCTCTTTCATTTCTATCGCCCAGTCCATAACATCCAATAATGTTACTTTGTCTGCCTTTTCCTATCTTAGCATTAAGGTCACCCTTGAGTTGGTCAGTACTTTACATCAGCGTAAACTTTTCAACTTTTTCTTCTAGTTCACTTTCAGCTGTCGGTGCATACACTTGTATTATTTATTTATATTTATATTTATATTTCTGGGTGTCGCGTTCAACTGAATCATTATGACCCATTCAAATACCTGGCCTATTGACAATCAAATATTTAAATTTTTGGCTTAAACTTTGTTGAATATATCCTAAACATAATAAGATTTTTATTTTGAATTATATATGAATATGTATATCTTTTAGGCTGCGAAAACTACAAATTTAACTCTGACGAATACTGGGAATGTGCTTTACGATCCCTAATAGGGAGTTATTACCATCAAGTAGCTACTTGCAAAATGGGCCCATCATCGGATCCGGAAGCTGTAGTAAATCATTTGTTACAAGTACATGGCATTAAGAACTTACGAGTTATTGATACGAGTATAATTCCCTACCCACCTTCATCACATAATGTTGGTCCAGCGTATGCTATTGGCGAAAAGGGGGCAGAAATATTAAAGAACCACTGGAAGATTTAGCGGAGAGTTTCTAAACTTTAAACAAAATTTTTTGATCTTGTTAAGATACTACTGCTATTCTTTATAAAAGCATTTTTTTTTATTTGTTTTATTTCTTTTAAATGTTACATTCGTGAAGGTATAAATTGGAGAGGACATAAAATAAAAGGAAATTAATAAATTCCTAAGAAAAAAAAAATATCTAAAACGACCATTTTAAGAGAAAACTCCTGAAACATCAAGACGAAGCAGAACTAATCTGACTTGACAATGGCAAGTGTGACCTTGCCGAAACGTCGTCAAAACAATGGTTTTTCGAAAAACCAAAACTACTTAACGCGGAGTCAAACCCATGTATATATATATATATATATATATATATATATATATATATATATAATGAGAATTATATATATTCGATTACCTTGAATTTTGTTCTTTAGCATTTTAATTCATTTTAAAGCACAACAAAACATTTAAATTTTAAGTCTAATCTAACTATGATTTTTCTTGATTAGTCCATATAACATTAATTATATACAAAACGCTTCTTCTTAGAGCAAATATATAGTTTTTTAAGCTGTTTCTCGCATGACCTGTTCGTAATTTATAGGATCTATTAAAATGATATAGTATTAATTTGATCTACATGTTTTTTGACTGCTACCGTGATAAGAAGCCATTTCTGGTGATATCTTTTTATTAACAGGGTCCTTGAAGACATAATTATTTTGAATCTCTTGCATTTTACGTAATTGTATATAACCAAGGTAAACCACACAACTAACAATAATTAATAGGGTGATTTGACCGGTAGTCGGCCAGTTTTGTTTAATGTCAATTTCGAATCGTTGTAGAACTATAAAGCTGTTAGAGTTTCTTAATAGAATTTTTTGAATGCATAGATTGAATAGTTTTCTTAAGTTCTTGAGTAATTTTAGTAACTATATATTATAAATTTAATTTATATTATCAATAGTACTAATCTATGTCTATTTTCTTAGTAGTCGGCCAGTACATTTTAGTAGTCGTCCAGAAATAAGTTAGTAGTCGGCCCTTATTTTATTGGCCCTCTTCAGACAGTGTGGTATTAGGGAAAATCTTCAATGAAACTCACCTATGTTAGGTTAGTTTTAATTGTAAAAAATAGAAATTAACAAATAATTTGTAGTAGATAAATAAATGCATACTGCTCTCGAAAGTAAGTAACACCAAGATTCATTGATAACAAGAACAAATTATTATTGAAGATATGAAATAAATACAACACATCGATAAAAAAGTGGCTAAAAACAATGTAAACGTTTTTATATTTGTTATATAAATTTTTATATTGTGACATTTAAAAAAAAATTATTGTAATTTATATTTGTCACACATATCACACCTAAAAGCTTCATCTATCACTTCACTGTAGACACGTCCCTGAAATTTAGTGCATTTTAGGTGATACCAGATTGGACAATCGTCACAGCCAACATTCTTTTCGCCATCTTCTTCGGCATCACTGTAGAGATTTTCTAAACAAACACCACATTTTTGTTTGACTTGATTATGCAGAGTATCTTTATTATCTGATACCTTAGTTGCCACTTTCTTTAGTACTTTATTTCTTTTGTACACGGTGTTAATATTTAGTTTTCGCTTCCTATTCTCCAATCTCTTTTTCTTTTCGTTTTCCTTGTCCGTTTTTTCTTTTTCTTTTTTATTATAATGCTGCCTCCATGCCTCTGATGATATAGCACTAGGAAATCGTTCACGAAGGGGTTTAGCAGATTTCTGAAGCGGCTGAGGATATTTTAAATGCTTAGTAAATGGTGATTCTTCGGATACGGATAAAGCAATATTTACGTTAGGACTTTTCTCCTGTAAAGCAATATTTACGTTAGGACTTTTCTCCTGTAAAGCGATATTTACGTTAGGACTTCTCTCCTGTAAAGCAATATTTACGTTAGAACTTTTCTCCTGTAAAGCAATATTTACGTTAGGACTTTTCTCCTGTAAAGCAATATTTACGTTAGGACTTTTCTCCTGTAAAGCAATATTTATGTCAGGATTTTTATCCTGTAAAACTGTTAAGGGACTTGAAGTTTTGACACTGCAAATCGAAAATGATGGCAGCGTGTCTTCAAAGACGTCTAAAACTGTACTTACAGAAGGCAACGATTGGTTTAAAACATTTTCTAACAATGTATTTACTTCTTCGTCGGGAATTTTCAAATTACATTCGTTTTTACTGACGTTGACTTGTTCAACATTAATAGGTTGTAAAGTACCATCGTCGGTCACTTCATACTCTGCACAATTAACGATGTCATTTGCAGTTTCTGTAGAACCGTCAAGGTTTATTTGATAGGTCTGCAATTGTAAAGAGTTAACGATTTCAACAATGGGCGTAATATTTATGCCTTCTTCATAACATTTTTGTTTTATAAAAGTTAGTACTTTAAGAGTACTATTAAGATCTTTTTGAGTTATTGGAACTATTGTATCCTTACTGTTTTCATTAATTACCTTTAAAGTATCACGAACACATTTTGTATAATCAATATGATCAGGGTTAAATGGAAACAAGCCGCATGCCTTAAAACCATTTTTAATATTTGTTGGCATCTGAGGATGATGCAATGCATTATGAAAAACTGGGCAAAAATTTAGTTTTGATAACGCTTTTCCTTCATTTTCGCTTTCCCATTTTCGTACAGCATTTTTCCAATACACTTTTAGTGGCTTAAACACCGACACATCTGCCGGTTGTAGTATGTGCGTTGCATTAGGTGGAAATGCGTATAAAATTATCCCATTTTCATCACAAAAATTGCTTAAGTCTAAAGACATGTGAGAACGATGCCCATCTACTAAAAACAGTACAGGTTTTTTAATCTTCTCTTGTTCTAACCATTTATTAAATGCATTGGCAACAAATTCAAAAAATATATCAGTTCGCATCCAGCCGGATTCTGATTTTCCCAAAATCCAATTCTTAGGCATAGCTTCTACTAATGCTCGAGGTGGTTTCACATAGGGAAATACTACTACAGGTGGGCATACTCTACCATCAGCACAAATCGTAACTAGAACTGTTAAATTTTCTTTTGTGTTTCCTCTGGTAATTTCATATAAGTTTTTATATCCTTTTGGTCCAAGGACTTTGCCGCTTTTTGGACAGAGATAAAATCCGCTTTCATCTGCATTAAACATTCTACTAGAATCAGCTAATATTTCGCTAGCTCCTTTATCGTTTAAAAATGATTCCAGATCTCTAAACCAGGCTCGTATTGAGTGTTCAGATAACATTGACCTAGCTTTATTAATGGCTTCTGGCATTTTTATTGTAATTTCCGGATGTCTTCCTAAAAATCTCTGAAACCATGTTTGCCCCGGTTTTCCATCTCTAAACGGGGTTTTTAAATTTCCATCTTTAACAATTTTTTGTATAGTTAAAAGTAACTCTTCCTTTTTCAGCGGAAACCCACATTTGGCTAAACTGTTCAACCACTCTACAATTCTTTTCTCCTTCTCTAGTGTTAAAACTGGATCAGGACCCATCTGCCACTTTTCTCCAACTCTACCACTGATACGGTCCTGTACCGTAGACCTAGGAATATTGTACCTTCTACAAACTTCACGTATTTTTCCGCCATTTCTTATATCTGCAATGGCTTTTTGAAGAGTATCTTGGGTATAAAGATGGAAACTTTCTTTTGGAAGAGGTTGCCATGGTCTAAAATTAATAAAAAAAGAGAAAAATCAAATTTAAACCCTCAACCATGTATAACTTTGAAGAATTAAACATATGGCCGACTACTAGTTAAATTACCCCCACCACTTCATACTGGTAGTCGGCCACTAAGTTTAAGTCCCAAATTAGCGTCTTATAGAAAATTTATAGGTGGCCGACTTCTAAATTCTATATCAACTGTATTGCAACGAATCTTGTTTAGAAAAAGATAAATTGTTTACATTGTGTATGTGTTGAAAAGAATAGAAATGCTACCGTCTTATTCAAGCTAGTAGTCGGCCACCCTGGCCGACAACTAAATAATATCAATTATTTTTGTCTAGTAAGCGGCCCTTCGTTATAATTTTACAGTAATTAATATTTATCAATTTTTTCAACTAATTACACACATTCAACATTACACTATCTGGTACAAACAAACAAAAATCGTAAATAATATTAGGTAATGATAAATCCTACCTTTAAAAATTGCTGTCACGTAATTTTCACTTCTTGCACAGTAATAAATTTGTCGTTACAATAACACAAGCGAGGTTAAGCATAGACTAACGCTTCCAGATGTCAGTTATTGGAGGGAAACTTTATATCTTTTGTACGGAAACTAATGACCTCTATATAGGAGAAGAAATACTACAAATCTATATTTTAAAAATAAAGTTATTGTAGTTTTACCAGTTTTTGGCCGACTACTAGTGGTGGCCGGCGTACCGGTGAAATCACCCTATGTTTTTCAGTTTACATGATCCACATCAGGAACTAAAATTTACATTTACATAAAAATGAATTTTGTGTATGTAGAATATGTCTTCACACAATTAAGATAGAGGTCAACTGATTCTAATATGATTAATAAGTTTTATTAGGCAGAAATTTTTAACTCCACATTCCGGAAATGTTTTAGTACAGAATCTGAAAGAAAAAGGCCAACGCCTAGACGATACCTTTACTAAATATTTGTTTGCCATTTGGTCCACTACATCAACGCCATATTTTGTTTCATTATAAAATTCAATAATTTCCGGTATCTGTTTCTCATTGGATGCAATTTGTACATCCAAATGCATTGTACTAAGCATGACCACATGATTATTACTTTTGGCCTGATAAACAGTCAATGAGATATCACCTGGTTTTAGAAGTATTGTACTGTCCAAATTTTCTTTCGCGTACTTCACACAAGGCAGGTAGTGGGTAGGACTCCTCTACGATTCCAGTAGAGGACAGGCTGCTACAGGGATGGGCGTCCCTGCCATACGCTAGCAAATTGTACCCTCTGCTATGTCCAAGCCTTTAGGAAAGGGCAGGTCCCCAACCTATCTTCCTACCCATTTTCCAATCCTTACCACCACTGGCCCGCACTG